GTCATCGTGTATAAAGCATTAATCATGTTTCACTATCCCACCCAGAGTTAACTTTTTAATTAAATCAATTTTTAAAAAAGGAGAAAATCTGTCGATTATATTATTAAAAAACGTGTAGGTTAAAAAAATTGGTTAAAAATTTGATGTTGACGTTTTAAAAAAGAATAGATGGAGAGTAACTATCGAAGTGAGATTATTTCATGTTAACTTATTCGTTCTTTAAACAAATTTTATAGAACCCTATCAAAGTTGAGGGTTACATCACAGATGCCATTTATAGCCGTCATTGATTTTAGTTTCATGCGACAACTCGTTAGGGTCTTCCTTCATTCAGTAGGAAATTTAAACTTGGTTGGGTTACTGAATCACTGCTATTGACCGCATGCTGGAGAGGGGTGGAGGGCAGTCTGTCATTTGTAGAGAATCACCTTTAGTATCCCTCGGACGGTCTAACGCCGTCGTCAGTCGCGCGTTTCCGCATCTCGAATCATTTTTAAACACGCTCGCCAACCGTTACCTACCTCTCCGACATGCACAAATGTAAATATAATAATACAACCATATAAATTTCATTTGTATTTCAAATTCTAATTTTGTTTTCATCTTTTTCTGATTAATTGCATTGCGACGACTTTTGAAAATCTTTAAAAGCTTGCGAGAGTAGAATAGGGACATTTGAAAAAGTCAAATGAATTTTCATCTTCGTAATATACCAGTGAATGAAATAATAATCAGAAAACTGTGTATTTAGTGAGTTTTCGAAGTTCCAGTTTTCATCATTTAGAACGTTGTGTTTATTGTTTTGAAACATAAAGATTCGTTTGATCTGTCTGCTGCTGTCCTGCTGCTCTGTGTGTGTGTGTGTGTGTGCGTGCGTGCGTGTGTGTGTGTGTGTGAGAAATGTCGTTTGCTGTGTATCTACATTATCAATTGTATTTCAATTCAAATTTCACTGATATTACTTACATCAATTACCATCCCCGTTTTTTAATTTTTTAAACAAATCTCTATACTACTTTAAAAAGAAACTTAATACTTACCGTTCAAATACTATAACCATCAGTAGCTAAATTATTGAGAATTACTCAAAAACCATATATCTAAAAATGCCGCGCAAAAATAATTCAAACAATTCTCTCGAAGTTGAAAAGATCAATGAAAAAAAACGGATCTTTGTAATGAATAAACTAACAGTTTTCATTACCGCAAAAACAAATATCCGACTACTGGTTATTTCAGGCGCAGAAACAGCAAGCACACCGCCCGTTCCGCCGCGACGCAAAAAGCGTAAAGCAAAGTACGCCGGGGCCGTAAAAACTGCTGAAGATACGTCGCCGATCCTCAGTAAGTTGGAGAGGAAGCGCGTGGCACCGCCACCACCACCACCGCCGCCGCGAACCATCCGAAGAGTCAAACCCTACGTCGCTAAATATCACCAAGAAGAAGACTCCGACGAAGAACAGACATCAAACAACCAATCGCTCGAAAATGCAGAAGAAACATCGAACAAGCAAAATTCCAACAAAACAGAGTCGATTTCTTTGCCTCATCAGTTTGAAGACACAGGCTTAGTATCCACTAAAGAAACCAACAACAATGCCAACGACACAAACGGCGCAGAAAACATTTCGAGCTCATCAAACGATGGCGCGTTACCGATATTCGAGACTCTGGCTAGAAAAGAGGCGAATAAATATCCGCCATTGCTGTTCACTTTGCACGACTTCCAGAACGTCATGTCAAACACTTTGCCGATCGAAGAGGAAACTGGGACAGAGTCGGCCATTCAGTTCGTGAGTTCCATCCACGAATCTTTCCATGAGTCCTTCCAGCATTCGCTGGATGAAGAAGAAAGCGACATGTGTTTCCGCGTTACCACTACCAATCTGCCTTTCGGCAAGTGTTTGAATAAATGGAACGGCACCTTCGCTGACCATTTCATCGAGAAGTTCGATGACTCCAATGGTTTCGTATTCGAGGATTACATCGACAGGAGTAGCAAGGTGAACATTAGGCGATCGGCTGGACCGATGTGCCACGACAATTCTGATGAAGACCAGCCAGCAGTTCCTCGTTTGACCAAGGTGAGATTCGTCATACAGTCACCTAGCTCTTCGACCCCTGATCACGATCTGAGCGAAGATGGAGACAGTTTGCACAACAGTTTACGGAATGTCAGTCCACTGTCGAACGGGGAAGCTGATGGCTTCGCTAGTTCCGTGCAGCTGACGGAGATCACGGATGATATCGAGGATGTAACTCAGTTTGCTGATAGTCCACAGGACTCTCGTGACTCCGATGAGTTTGGTGATGTGCCCTTTAGCACTGTTTTGAAGGCTAGGGACGCCAACGTTGAGTCTTTGTTCGAGTACAACTGCACTTCGATGGATTTCGGTGACGGAGGATCGTTCGATGAAGATGACATTGATAATTCGAAGGGCTCCTTTTGTAGTGTGGCTGCAGAGCAGCTACAGGAACAATCCTTTGGTCCCTGCCAGGTTGAGAAACTGTCTATGAATGAAACGGACGAGAGTTTAATGAGATCGGAAGCGGATTATGGGATGGGACGCAGTTCCGCGATGGATGGGTTTGAAGAGGATCGGAGGAAGATCGAGGATGATAACTCGCTGTTGGAATCTTTGATTGATCGTGTAAAATGTAATGGAGAGTTTGAAACTAGAAAGGACAAGATTGGACCGATGCGATTGGATCCGCTGGTAGAAGCTTATGGGTATGTTAACAAGGATGTTGAAGTTTATGAACAGACGGTTTCGAAGACTGTGGATAAAAATGTGAATGTTGTTATTGAAGAGAGATTGGAAGAGAATATGGAAAATACTCAATTCGATAAAGAGGCATTAATTTGTGATCAAGATTTTGAGACTAGCGAACAAAAATTGCCGATAAATGCAGCTTTTGATCAGACATTAATAACGAACGATGATGCAAAAGAGAATTTATTACCGGATAATTCAGATATCAATGCTGTTGAGAAAGTATCTTCGATGGAAGAGAGAAACAACGATGAATTCGAGTCAATATCATTCGATTCAACCGATAAATCGAGTCAACAATACAAGCGAAAGCTTTTCGTAAGTGAATCGCTTCGGAACATAGTTATTCAGCGGGACTTCTCGTCGAATGAGTCCGAAGATCATAACCAGTTTTCTGAAGCAAGAGAAAATGGACTAGAAGTTCACGATTCATATATAAACAAACTTGATAACGATTACGAAGAATTAAATGCTAAGGGAAACGAGGGGAAAGTGGTGAACGCCTCGTTCCCTAAGGACGATTGCAAAATGAAAGAATATGTTCAACAAGTTGACAGTGTTAGCGTTCCAGTTAGCATTAGACGGAACTCATTCCTGGAAAACATGCTTTGCGAAGACGAGACTGAGACCTGGACCGGTTCAACAAGTTGTGAGATTGTTGCTGCCCATCCGAAATCGTCCTCATGGATGAAAATAAAAAGTCATATAGGCAACAAGGAAGAAAATAAAATATCACGTAGGTTAAACGAATCGATAAAAATGGATGTTGAAATCCAGAAAGTGTTACAGGAGTCCCAAGAGAATCTCAAGAAGATGGAGACTCCAGTTCTAAAACCAAGGTCCTCTAGGATCATCCAACCTTCCAAGAAACAAGCCGGAGAAGTAAAATGCGCCGTACTAAACGAATTACTCTCCAATTTCAGCAACATTAAATTACGACCAGTAAACAATGAGAGACAAAATGACAGCGAAGGTATCTTCCAAGCAAGGAGAACCGAAATAAAATTGGAAATATCAGAAGATAAATCTCATCAAGAGAAAAATAAAAAGAACATGAAATCCCCAACTATCAGCCAAACTCAAACTACTCAAGTCTCGCCAAAGTCACCAAACACTTTCAAACACTTTCAAACATCAGAAACAAAAGAAACTTCCACAAAACCAGACAAATTCGACTTCCCAAGAACATCCGCATCAGAGCCTGAGTTTCTAAGGGCCAACGCGAACAAAGAGATAGTAAAAGTGTTGGTTCACAGATCCGAGCAAGACGATGAAGAAGATGAGGCAAGATCACCAAGAAGGTTCCACGGAGTTCGGATCGAGCCAAGAGAAACGCGTTCGAGCAAGGACCACGTGCCCCGAAAACTGATAAAAGACGACATTGAAGTAGAGAGCTCCGCGGTGCCTCTGCAGTTACCGAGTTGCAGCGAAAAGACTGACGCAAGGGTTAGCAGTGATGAGGAGTTAGGCGACGGCCACACGGTGATGGACAGTGACCCGGCGGACTGGGCGCAGTTAGATTTAAGCAGGAGGACGGGTAGTGGCGCCAGAAGTGCCATAGCTAGGAGGATTCCTCGACCCCATTGTAATAATAATGACAATAACAGGGCCGTAACACCCGTAGCTGTAAGTGACGACCAATCCCGCGACACTGTAACAATAACCCCCGGTAGAGTTAGAAGCTTCGTTAAGTACTACGAGATTCGACGGGAGGCAACGACCGACAGAGATTCTAAAACTAACGATAGAGATAGAGTAGATAGGGACAAAACGACGGGACACCGGTCGGTGGTCAGCATACGCAGGGGCCTGGAGGCGAGGGCAAACGAGGCTAGGTCCTATGAGCCGAAAAAGGACAACGCTCGTTCGACAACGGAGACCGGGTACATCGAATCGATCAAGACGAAGTACAAGTGCGCCGCGGTCACCAGTATGGTCAGGATCGATGAGGAAAATTCGGAACAATCGAGTGATCTGAGGAGAAACGACGGCGAATGTTTGCCGGTGAAGGGAAAAGAGGATGGGAAACCTTCCGGTGACTCGAGCAAGCAACCTGGTAAAGTTAAGAGGAAGAAGTCGGTGAAGTTTCAAGGTGGACACACTGTGATCGGTGCGAAATGTTCTCGAGATGATGGCCCCGCGGGGAGCCAGGATGCCGAGTCGCCGGCAAAGGGAACAGCTCCTGATGGGCTCGGAGAGGTCCTGAATGGAGCAGGGGACCGCGAAACTGCGGACCAAAAGGAAACCCCGGACGCTGACGCTTGGTCTTTCGATAAACGAGAAATTGCTGCACAGGTCAGTCGTTTGTTTAATTAGTTTGGAGACTGCTTGCTGGGATTACGGATAGGGCTTTTTGTTTTCCTTTATTGTGAGAGATGGTTGGTGTCTGTTTTCTGTTGTTTGTAGAATTGAGTACATTTAAATTAAAATTGTAATATATGCTTTGAAACGTGCTGCAATTTAATATTTTTCAGTTTCTAACTTTTATAATCTCTGAATGTTTTAAGTTGTAGTATTTTAGGATGATAATGGTAAGAGATTTTTTGAGGGAATTAATCGCAGTAGTTTTTTGAATGGTAGAACGTATAGAAATTATATAAATTAATAGTAAATTCTTTCGTATTATTTTCTTTTTTATGCAGTTCAGAAAACTAGCTTAGTCATAATGTTGCATGCGTAACTGGAAAAACGAGTATACTGAATAACAGTTTATTTAAATATTTTTTTGCAGATACAAGCCGCAGCAGAACGCGGGGAATGTTCAGGTATTAACCGCTTCGTTCCAAATCCAGAAACCCCACGCCTCGTATTTTATTGTACTGTATAGTTAAACCGTAGTTTCTACAAGCTGTTGTCGTCGTTTCCTCGAGTCTCAAATGAAATCTATCCGCGATGTTTCGTAGCGTCACAGTATCATTAATTCTTCGAGCTTTCGTTCGAGTCCTTGAAGCAAGAACAGATTTCATAGTGTTCTGCGAGATCAATCTGATAAAGTGACTAAACAATAATCGTAATACCGGAAACTATTTATTTCTATTTTTCAAATGGCAACGCGAAATGAACGAAGTACTTAAACTAATGATACAGACAATAATTTATTAAAAGCATCTAAGTTGATGTAACAATATGAATCTAATCAGAATATAATCTCATGATTTTTAAAAATTACATATAATCATCTTTTAAATACAAATTGATCGTTTTGAAAAATAATACATTTTTTTATAACAAATCTGATATAATTTTACCCATCACTTCATAGATGTAATGTTTATGGTAGGAATTATATTTTTGGGGGTAATCGTATGCGAACTGTAAATACGTAAAATCTATAGTATATAAATGTTTGATCAGAGAAATGTAGGTTTTTCGGAAGGATTTAGGATTGCTGAAGATTTAAAGGTTGAAACAGACTTTTCGGTCAAGTGCATTAGGAACGGCTGCTATTTATTCTATTTTCCCTGCATCGGGCGGTTCGTTTCCATGGCGATCCACGGAATTTCTTGCATCATTTTGTCTGACTTATTTTACGTATTTCCGGATAATGGGGCTCAGCCAGATTTATTGGCCCCTCGACGAACGGTAGCGTAACGAAAACAAGAAACGATGCAATTTGTGGCCTCATTTGAATCAGTATTCCTTGCGCAATGGAGTAATTAATTCCACCAAATTTCGTGTACAATATTGATAGAATATATACCGAAAAATTCACGTACGAATCATTAGATCAATTCTTCATGAAATTAGTAAATATTAGTAACAATTGATTAATCGTTTACGTAATAATTTTACATTGATTCTTTGTTAATAAGAAACGGAATATAAAATTTTAATTATATCGTTTTCCTTTTTTTACTAATATTTTTAATAAAACACTTAATAACAATTAATCTGTTCTATTTGATTTTTTATTATATATTGTATTTTAGTTTTAAATGTATTTTATGTACAACCTCAACGTCCTGATGTAGCAATATTGTTTATAAATTTATTGTATAATATTGTTAATTTTTATATTTACCTAATCTTCAAAATGTGCTTAATAGTTTTAACATAGTTTTTTTAATCTTAAATGGTACACAACAGAGATATTATACTATCGTATGGATGTTAACATTTTTTTTTAACGGCCAACTTAATTATTCTTTAAAACAAGTCAACTTCATTTTTCTAGTTACTTAGGCAATCAATTCCTCGCTGTATACGATTTCAGCAAAGGCACGCGATTCGTCGGCTAAAACAAAATTTAAAACTGCCAAACTTGTAGTTACTGCACCAAAGCAAACGGTTTCAGAACAAGTTATTAGAATTTCAGTTTCGGTTGCACTCAACATTCGATACTGCCAAATTTCTAGAATAATCAGATACCAATCCAAACGTTACATTCCCTAAAAAAGTACGATTTCTTTTGCCCATACTCTTTATTCAAACATAATTGATCAAATATATCCAAAGGACAATAATATTTTGACACGTAGACTGCCGATTTAATAATCATAAAAATCCCATAAATTTAAAACGTTAACAATTTTGTTAACGACACAAACAGAGAAGTCAATATTGTTCAATTAAATTAGAAATCAGGTTATAGATCCAAAATATTCGGCGCGTCCAATAATCCGAGAATTAATTCCAGAAAATTAATTTTAAAATCTCAGGAAAATCAAATCAATTATTCAAACTCGAGTGACACGATGGAGAAAATATGAATAAATTCATGAAAATACGAAAGAAAATTTTAATGACAATTATGAATCTGTCTTGCGCACTAAGAATCTGTTCTTCCGTTCGAGCTGTCCTATTAGCACCGTCGGCTTCCGTTTCACGGCGTACGCGAAACTGAAATGGCGAATAGCCTTTAGCTCTGTTATTGTCGCAACCATCCTGGCGCGACTTCATTCTAGGAGAACATTGTTTTTCGGCAACACAGCGTATCGCAAGATATCCGCTCGCGCGTATCATCCCCGTCGCCCTGCGCATATTCTAATTATTACAGGGAGTAATTTACGTGGCTGAATAGCGGCAAAATAATATACTTGTTGCGCTGTTGCGTTATGTATACGTGTTCACCAGATCAATTTAATGCATATTGAATAGAACGTGTCGTAAAAAGTACTACCATTTCGATGGACGCGGCTCGCCGTTGATTCAGACAAGTGCAATTAATTGTGTAAATCCGTGTGTAAACAAACGCGCAGTATTTACGGTGTTCGAGTCGCATGAATCAATAATTCGATGCGCGTTTAATATTGTTAATGCATCGATCACCAAAAACGCGATGTTTGGAGACAATGGTTTATGAACATCTGTTGATCGTTAAACATAAGAGAAATACAATAGAACTTGTGTTTTGTTCATTATTAATTAAGTCGATTACAAATTAAGAACAGAAATATAATTGAAAAATTGCTATTATTATTGTTATAGATATAATTATTTAGCATCTTTATTTAATGATTTCTTTAATTTCAACTATATACAAGCTGAAACACTTATTTAATTCTTTCTTATTAACAGAATAAAAGATTAAATGCTTTCGTCATTATCGTTAATTCAGGATACCATTAACAAAAATGAAGTGAAAAATTTTGTGAAATTTTCCCAGGAACACCGTTACGGATTTCACCAGCAATCGAGATGAAAGTACTTTTTAAATCATTGACACGGTGTAGGTGATATATAGCGGTTTTCCTTTTGTTCTTAAAGCGTGCAATCCGTCAGCCAAATGAGACTTAACGCGGTGTAATTATTGCAATCGTTTTATTATCCTCTGTTGATTTATTCTAAGTACGATGGTTTATCATGTGCTCGTCGAACGCATTACTGTATACGATGTAGGTGGAAGTTAATGATAACTGTGTGAGTAACAATGTCGTTGACACCTAGAATACGTAACTGAAATGCTTCTTACGATGTAGTATTATCGTCAGAGGGTCGAAACCGAAATCAAAACTAAGATGACACCGATATGATCAAAGTCTCCAACTGTAGTTTTATGAAAGAAGAAACTAATTGCCAATCAGAATGTTAACTTTCCTCTGATTTTTCTCGGTGATTTGCAACTATAATTATGAGAATGTCAATATTCCAACCATAGCGTCGCATAAAAGTTTCCCTTTTGATCATAATTCCCAACCATAATTCTGCGAAAGCAGCATTCTCCGAGAGAGATTTTTCTCTTCGTGATTTCTCTCTGGAGATCACTCTGAACTAATAATCTGACCGTAACACACTGCCGGATACGTCATTTTCGATCACAGTTTCCCGGACGTAATCCAGATAGTCCGATATGCTTTGCAAGGCAAATCTCGTTCTTCATTGGCCGCGTATAATTATTAAATCTATAATCGAAGGGAATCGAATTGACGGGAATGAAGTGCGCTCGCTGTTTATCGACCTGGCAATCAAAATTTAATGAATAGAGTAACTGTATAAAATTATTGTGGGAAACCGTTCAAATGAAATTTCGGAAATGTAGATATTTATATTTTCGAAAAAGAATCCTAAATCAATTTACGAAAATTACACGTGAACGTGAATAATGAACATATGTTTCAAAATTTTAAATGTACTGAAATTCCTTTCGTTTCTGAGCTTTTTGTCAATTATTATATGACCATGATTCTTTTCAAGCCGAAAAGACTATTTTTCTGCTTCGCAATCTGTGTTTTTTATGAGTTTATAGATGAATGACGAATGTTAGAATGCGTGACAGAATAATAGCCCTTCTGATAGAATTCCGGCGGAAATTTCTCAGTGAGCATCGATTTCATTATTGTTAACAGAATGACGGATGTAATTACGAGTGAAAAATTACTTGAGAATCCTGATTGAGATGACGGCGAATGATATTTCTATCATCGCTTTGATCGTGAGCGTGACCGTACCAGTGGTTATTACGGTTTCGACTCTCTGAGTATTATATGCGCACAGTTACGGCCATTCGTGTTCGCACTATATGCAAATATTGAATAGAAGGTGAAGAGGTTCAATTTCGGTATAAAAAGTATACATGGGATTTCCTTTCATAACACGTTTTAAACGCTACACTTCTCATTTTATTATTCAATCCAGTCTTCAGTATCTCAATGTCTGAACAAAAGAATAACTAAACTACTCTATGCGATATTAATATTGCAGCGTGCAGAAGTTTTAAACTTCTTCAACAGACATTGGAAATGAATTCGTACTAAGGCACGTAACACATAAATTGCATGCACTCCAAATCAATTTTATACATATTCTATTTCATCCCAACAACGCTTTTATTTTATATTTTGTGTCCAGTTTCAGTTAATTGGAAATTTTAATGGATCATCTAAAATTGTGTATGACGGAAATATTATTTAAATTTTTATGTGTATGATATTACAGTTTACTTCTTTTTTAAAATTCCATTTGATTGAACAAATTTCCACGAAAAATTGATTCAATAAATATTGGAATTCGGGAAGAGTAATAGGGAAACGATAAATTCGTTGACTTTTTTCCCTTTTATTCGACGCTTGTGTTCGGTACGAAATAGAATGGATGTGACTGTGTATATATGTTTATAGAGATACATATGTATATGTAATATACTTGTACAAGATGAATGTGAGTATTATTACACGATAATTGTTCTGTAAAACGCAATGCGACTGAACCAGCCCCCCCTCCCCCACACACACCCTACACCCCTGTTCGTTGTACCACATTTTATAACGTTAATTTACATAGCCAGATAGCGAGAAAGCACAGGAAGCCTAAGTTGGACGAGTTAAATCGCATTTAGGAAAATATCTCGTGTAGCAGCGCACTTTGAACCCACATATTGATAAAAAGCAATAAAAAAACAAACGGTGCAGTGGATTCTACTCGCGGCGTTGCTTTCGGAAAACTTCTTCGCCGGATAAAGTCTGATTCTTGTACGAATTGACCCGAGGAAAATATATTCATTGAATCAAACCTGACTTTTGTACAGTTAATATTGTTGATTTCTTGACTTGAAACCACCATGAAAATGAAAAGAGAAAGAATAGAAGAAAGACATGAACGTAAAGAAGTGAAACTGCTGAAATGAAGATATGCAATGAATAAAATTTAAAACAATAAGCTGATATTAAATGTAACCCAAAATTGTGGTATTGAATTTTTTCATTTTATTTTTATACCTTCCAAATTTATGATTAATTAATTAATTGCAATTAAGTATAAGAATTTAATTGCATCATTGCTTGTGTCATTGGTCTTTTTCAGTTGCATACGAAAACAAACGTGTGGACTCGTATTAATGCTTCTAACAATGAACTAAACTTGATTCTTAATATTTCGCTTATACAAAACCAGCCGTGAACTTAAAAATAATTATTTCGCGTAATGAAAGATTCAGGCGCTCCGTTCATTACGCTCACAATGTTCTATTATTTACGTAGTTTCATTCAAAGCTTCTTTTAGACTTTTAGTACTATTATTTCATTTCATTCTTTTGAGTCCCTTCACTGTGTTCGTATATTATTCCACGGTGTCTACGAGAAACAATTTTCTTAATTACAGTTGATATAATTAAACTCGCAGGTATCGAAGTACATATTTATTTTCCAAATTAAAATTGACATAATTGCAAAATATTACATTTATACAAATATTATATTACCTCATATTTTATCAGTTTTAAAATAATTTTTAATAATAAAAATGTTAAATAGGTACTTCAAAAAAAATATTGTAAAGAAAAAATTAATTTAGACACATTTAGCAAGTAGCGTTTTTCATTTGTCTTTCGATATGGACTTGATCACTATTTTGGAGTATTCATGTTCATTTCGGAATAAATGTTGCCCCGCATTGCAGTGAACGTTTATATATCCGCTAAATGCTGAATAAATTATTATTTTATATGCTATAAACAGGTTTTGTGTTTCATTTGACACCTATTCGTCGCAGGAGAACAAGGGAAAATCTAGAAAATCCATTTTTAACTAACCCTGGAATTATTGAAAATCAATTGAAATTGAGAATTTATTGACAACTTATTTGATTTTTAAAAAGCAACATTGTAACAATAATATTTCATTTCTGTATTAATATTTGAGCGAATAACATTCGAAATTACTAAATAAATTTCTGAAATCAATTTTCGTTTCGTTCTTCTTAAATTACTGAAGGCACAAAAACTTTAGGACGTCAAAGGAAAGGTTTAACGCGGAGGCGAAGAATCTAATAAAATATATCCGTGGAAACAAGAGGGAGCTTAAATTAAAAAACGAAAACAATTTCCGTGTTTGAAGGGAAATTCTCATTCCAATTACTTCTATATTTCTTCGGGTGTATCTTCTTCCAACGAGAGAAACGTTCTCAGCAGCAATTCGAAACGTAAAAGCAACGAGAAAACTGCGAGGAGGTTTTATATCTGAGTATACAGACGCTACAGATACTAATATTAACAGTCTTGAAAAACTAAACTGAATTTCCACTGGTTGGTTTAAAAGGTTGAACACAACTACGAATTATTTTAAACTTCTTACTGGTAATTATTAATATAATAATACTAATATAATTACTATATTAATAAAACATAGTAATAACTATTATCATACATAATGCTTTTAATTGTAGGAAAACCTACGTATATTTCGCTACCATACCATTCCAAGAAATCTTTATTTATGTTTCGTTATTGCAGATGGTGCAAAATGTTTTCTCTGGTTTGATACTGTGCCGGGAGAACCGTGCGCGTACAGCGTCGAAATCGTAATTGCAACATTCGTGTTTACAATGTTTGCAAGAACTTAGCGTGAAATGTATTTCACCGCGTATCTTCTTTCTTCAAGGACAAGCATTTTTGTTACGTAATCAGTGTAGATGAGTAACGAGGGGATCTATGTCAGAGCGGAAATTTTTGGCAATTACGTATCTACATCCTGACTCAGCTAGTGCATAAATGTTGCGTAAATGGAACATCTATTAACGGACCACTGCTATCGATAAAATGACTCTTTAAGCGTGTAATTCTTCCTAAATTTAGGAACAGATTAGCTGTAACCTTACGCTCTAATAATACGTCTTGATTAATGGGATTTTGACTGAAATAACTGTTAGACCTCCTTCTCAATAACTCATTCAGCAAAAAATAGTATTCTCACTATTTTAAAGGAACATTTCAACATAGTAACTCGTTTCAATTAGTATCAGTGAAATTCTTCACTATTCTGTGAACTTTTAATACCGCAACGTTACCACAAATTCAGCCGTAGGCGAAAAATTCGAAAATCGAAGTCCTGCGAAAATTGGGCTTACATAGTTCGGTGGAAATTCGTCACGTGCACTTGACAGGGTGTAAAATTCACGAAGAAATAAAATTCGGGGCGCAGTCGTGTACGAATACTTCCACGCAAGTGGTTTCGGAGTTTAACCAAAAAAAAATATCAATCGTAATTGAAATTTCTCGTTATATCAAGAACTTATTTGAAAAATGGTCCTATATATTTTAATTTAAACGTCAAATTTCAAAATTCGTAAAATAACATACGAAGACAAAATTTAAACTGTCAAAACCATACAAATTCGGGAAAGTTTGGAATCAAAATTTCTATGTTAAAATATTTCTTTTTATTTTCTTCATTCTTTTTTTTGGTTTTTACCATTGTGTAATATTATTAAGATCAAGGAACTTGACGCTTGTTCGTAGTCCGTGGGAAGTCAAGTCAACAGCCGAACATCCAAATAACATCATCTTCCAGCGAACGGAAGCTGATGAACGACGACGCGCGACGCGATAAATTGCATGCCTTACTCTCGCATAAAGACGTGGCGCATGTGTGCACCTGCACGTGTATGCAGCTCGTGGTTCACCGTGATCGAATGTAAACAAATTTTCAATAGGCCATTGATCCACGATGGCTACGCGCGGCTTTGTCTTGGCAAACAATGTTGTCGCGACTTGAATACATGGAACACCTCTGGCGCGGCCCTATATTGGCACGTCAAGTTCCGTGTTATATACAGCGAGAAACTTCTAATGAAACTGCTGATAAAACTTGCCACGAAACTTCCGGCCATGCGAGTTAAACGCTTGCCATTAATGATGCAAATCCTTTAAACGGCAAAGCTACACTTGTAAAATCAGCTACCCTTGAGGCACGTCTTCGCTCTGACCGTGGGAATAACTTAACTTATTACACTGTTTCAATTTCATTTAATCAATGATGCGATACGCACAATATCATTTGTGATAGAATATAACTGCCCAACTAATACAATAACGACTTAATAAATTGAATTGCGATCGATACAAACTTTCGGTATTAAAGGTCTGATATGTCTGATGTGTCAGTGAAATAATTAAATCAAATAACCACAAATTCATTTTGAAGATTCGCTTAAATCTGAGTGATATGGAAGTCAAAATGGTATAGAATGACCACAAAAATCTCTTTATGTGTTGATCGAACATGTGCCTACTGTTCATCTACGACTTGGTGCCTCTAAAGGCTCCCATTCACGTTGAAACTTGCGGCGACGTAGGCATCGCTACAAGCGATAGGTTTGAACCTTTTCCAGTTGTTGTTTGGGTGCAACACCTATAATGAAAGCTTGAAAGACTTCAACCTATCACTTATAATGATGCCTGCATCGCCGCAAGTTTCAATGCGTATGGGAAACTTAAGGCATCTTAGACTGTAAGACTTAGGGGATGGTACAAAGGCAGGAGGGATCTTTAGCTATGTTTTGTGTCTAGTTTTTATTGGTGACATGTAACCGTATTAAAGAATAGAAAATTAGCATTGCAAATGAAACGAAAACGAACCAATCATCGCGAGTGGACGCTTCCCCTTGCTCTTCCGCACTTTTAGCTTGTGGATAGTTAGCCAAAACGTGAAAGGTGCTGTACCTGGTTCGGTGGAAGGGCAAACATATGGGACCGTGGCCGGCAAATGATATTCGTGACACAATCCACGTGCCAGCATTCTTGCGACTTACCCATTGGATCCCGCGGGATTTATTTTCGGATCGGTATGACGCCACCGTGGTGGTTTACATGCCGGTGCCGTCAAGCAACCGCGCGCGACGCCCTCAGTGGATCCGCGGCTGGCTCGCACGCGCGTCATACGATTGACGATGCTGCACACCGATTAACGATCGATCGACCGATCGAACGACTCGTCCGCGAACCGTATTCGCGCAGCCCGGAACGCGGAGGTGCGTCCTTCGATCGCGGATCGGATCTACACGGGTCTCAGGATCGATCTCGCTGCTCTCGCTACGCTCTGTGACGTTCGACGGGTTGCATTGACATCAGCGACACAGGCTTCGACAACTCTGTTTTGACCAACACGAATTCGGAAACGTTCATTCGTGACAGGCTTGATCGACGTTGACGCTGGAAAGCCTAAAGGGGTAGCTTTTCGAGTGTATTAATTGTAAAATTGAAATATGTCACTTCTCTTGATCGAAATAGTTTCTAAAAATTGCTTGTTGTTCGTGTGTCTCGATCTGGAATTTAATCATTGATTTTGATTGAGGAAAAATGGTAGGTCTGAAGAAGCAATGTTCCAAGTCTACGATTACGTACGTAGAAAAATAGTTTAGTCCTTTTAGAGTCAGTTCTATGAGTAAAGCTCTACGATGATCAACTATTGACGTCAGTCGTTGAAATCGCACCATTCAACGCTTTTTATTATGTATTCTAATTTGACCCTTCTTAATATGTATTCTTCTTAACAAAGGACGCAATGATTAATTTCGAAACGAGATAAAGTACTGTGGAATTATATTATGAGTCCCATGAGGTGTCAGTGTTTACAGAAGAGAAATAAAACTGAAAAGATAGGACTCCGGGCAAACAGTTATATTGGAGAGCAAATACACCAGCAGCTTTCGAAAAATTTAACTTGGGATACATTGTTCCGACAGCCCCTGTAGGGTTAAAGCTTGAAGCACCTGTTCTCTTGACTGTTTACTTCAGTATTGTTATATTCTCATTAAAAGGAATAGAAACGATCTTGTTAACCCCTTTCCTTTTTACAACAGCACGTATCCAACTCTGAAATCTTGATAACATTTTAGTTCAAATTTATTACAAATTTTGTTTACATGCTGATATTATTTCCACGAACATTATTATCGTTGCAAACATTTGCACGTTTAAGGAACGACAGTGTGTAAGAAAGGAATGCTGTTGCGGTTAACGCTGACGCCAGTGAAATTCGGTTCCCGTCGAATTTTTGTCGGACAAAACAGCGTTTACGAAACCTGTGCGAACGCGTCTCGCCCGTTACCGGCGAATCGATTCGTCGAACCTCGCGGATGTCTATGGTAGCCAGTTTTTTCATTTCGGTATTCCCCGAGCTATGTCTTCCGAGATATTTTGAGATGCGTACAGATACAGTCGCTCGCGAGGCGGTCGTGTCCAAGCCCAATCGAAACCAGGACAGCTCGGAGAGTTCTGTGATTTGTGATCCCACAGTGGAGAACTTGGTCAAATCTCGCGGGGACGTCATTCTTTTTCGGGAACAGTCCCTTTACATTATTCATCTTCTTCTGCGGTCCTCTTCCTTCAGCTTCCTGCGACTTCAAATCGCTGGTATATTCATTCCGAAGTACGAAAATATCATTTCAGCAGACTCTCACGTATAATCTTCGGAAATGTTGATGACACTAGCAACTGTCTCAAATAAAATTTTAACAATTATGAGACATCTAATGCTTCTTGAATAACCTCGTTTCCATGTTTGAAATGCCCCTCTACGAACTACATAAAGGTTCATTGATATTTTCCAAATCGAATAATATATACGCATTACTTTCTTTTATTGTTGTAAATATTTATCGATGAATCCTAGTTTTCATATCCCACGCAATTGAAAAAGTACAGATCTATTTCTGCTAAAAGTGTAGCAGATATTTCAACCGTAACTTCGAGAAACCAATTTTTGAAGAGAAAAAAATAACACAGCTGCGTTCCAATACGATACTATTTCGTTCAAATCGACGGGGAATGTTTTACCGACGGAGTAACGGCACACGGAACGCGGCACAGAGAAAGTTATTTTGCCAATTCTATTAATGATTCAGAGGGTCGGTTACCCAACCATTTCCCTACCCACCTTTTCCAATCGCGTTTCGGTGGCTTTGGAATCAATTCAGACGAATGTATCTTTCCCCGTGCATGTCCGCGTACCTCCGTTCCGATGGAAACCTGGAACACCTGCCAATACCTCTTATTCCGTATGCGAGAATGCGGCGAAGGGGCGAAGCTCGCGCGTGAATTCGCGAAAAGTGACCGCGAAACGGTCGGGCCGTTTCGGAGGCATTCCAAAGTCGAACTACCTCGATTCTGACAGGCTGCCAAACGTCTGAGGCCGCCGTTACGTAAACGATGTAATATTCATTCGTTCCCATCGAAGAATGATCCTCGATTCAGTGTTTCGCGCGACTGTCGACCATCCATTTCCTAGTTGAAGCAGTCGAGACAAAATGGCGGAACGAAACGTGAACAGGCTACCATTGGCGAACACAGAAGCGTGTGTTTGATTGACACGTTCAGTGTAGGGTTTTAAAAATGTTCATTTCAAAATTTTCTTCATTTTTATTCGGTTTTATTATGGTTGGAAATCTACTGTTTATGAAAGTGTGTTGATTATTATGTTTAATGTAATCATGTATTGAATTGTTTGTATGATATATAAGTTGTTTATTTTACAAAGTATTTATCGCAATAGAAGAAATACAAGAAATTGGTGATATTATGTATATAAGAAACTAAATAAGTATTTTAATATTAAAATTTGAAATCATTTGAGAAGTGGTACTAATCACATTCACTTGATCACTGAAGAATATCTATTGTTTAATAGACTTATTGATCTCACACTGAACGTGTCAAAGAAAACAACTGGAAGAACAAATGATCGCAACGAGATATCGAAAAGATCCTTTGCCACTCGTAGAGATTTTGAACTCGGTGTAATTATTTTACAGCAGAATAGACATTGACACAAAGTGGTTGTTTTATATTCAAGTCTGGCGTCACGGATTTGAAGAGGTGCGCTTTAGTTTGATTGAAAGTTATTGAGAATTTGGTGTTATTCGCGCGGTTAATATGAAATAATTGATCATCCTCGTACAATGAAAATATTTCCGTTCGGTTGTAAATTATTTGCCAGTCTGCGGAAACTCGTGTATCGAACTGAAGAGGAATATTATCGACACGAATGTGAAGTGAATGCATTAATATTGACGACCCGCTGGAAAATACTTCCGTTTCCGCAATGTGTCCGTTTAAATTCGCGTGAATGTTTGAATAAGTGGATTCCGATGTCGCGAAAGTATCAGTGGAGTCGTTATAGAATCACTTACAATCTTACGTCTTTGACAAGATAATAACCGAACACCGATCACAAAACGAAAAATTTCATTCGTCCATCAAGATAGTGATAATTGAACCCAAACAATAAATAACGGTGAACGTAGAACATGAGCCAAAATTCTCCTATTTATTGTTTTCGAGAAGCACACTAAACTTAGATTTAATCTGTCTACGCGACAATAGCGAGGCAGTCGATCGAAGACGTCAGTGCTGCAAAGACATCTTTACACTGCAAACACTAAGTATTTAAAACAGTCGATTCACAAATTCCAAAAATTATAAAATCACATTTTCTCAAGTTTCATATATAAATTTTTTTAGTTCCAACAATTTAAGAAAGAAAATTTCGAAAGCAATTCCTCGTATAAATATAATTCCAACAATCGGAGAAGAAAAAACCTAAAACTTCGACGAATATAGTATTTCCAATTTGAAACAAACTCACAGCAGGATTATTTGATCGAAGTTCAAATCGAAAATCTTGCAAACATGAAGAACACCCACCCGACAATAACAGCCACGCCGATTAATCCGGATACATCCTCACCGAACGAAGCCGGGGAGCCAATCATCAGGCTGAAATTAGACAAGCCGCTGCACTGGGAATGGGAATTGACTACATCAGCGGATACGCTTCCGGTGATCCAGCTGCTGGACAAAAATGGCCGCTTGCTCGTGGAAACAACAGGCAGAACCGCGCAGAGGGCGAGAGGCTCGTTTCGAGATGGACTTAAGTCGCACGAGGAGTTTCCACCATCGGAGCAGACGCCAACTGCTTCGTCGTCCTTCTCCAGCTCCTCAGCGTCGAACTCGGTGGTTCCGTTGCAAGGCAACCGAAATATGGACGGATTCAGCACGAAGTTCGGTGGCTGCGAGTTCGGTTTCAGACCCCGGAAGTCGAAGAGCGAGGTAACTGTGAAGGAGAAGGAGAAACGGGGGAGGAAAAGACATTCCGGCGGTCCAGAGACGGCCACGCAGCAGAACGAACAAGGGAGAGTAATGTCTAAGAGGTACTCGCTGGGCGATTACCTTCGGCAACAGATCATAGACGATCTCCGAACGAAAAGCACTTTGGGCAAGCGACCGGAGGAAATTGCTAAAGAGAGATGTAAGAAGATGAAGGCGTACTTGAGGAGCCAGAGTGAGACGCTGCCGCGATTAATTCATGTGGAAGAGGAAGAAACAGGAGAGAAGACGGAATCTTCGATCAACGAAGACGCAAGAGGTAGAACTGAATCATCGATCAAAGAAGATTCGCGGGATCAGAGAATCAAGGATGGTTTGAAGCGACTTCGAGACGCGATCAGGGAAGAAGAACCTATCGTTAAAGCTACCGGTGATCAGAGTAATGAAGCACAAGATAGTCTTCCTAGGAATGATCCATTGAACGAAGGGAGATCGGGTAAATGGGAGTTACAGCGCAAGAACAGTATCAAGAACGAAGAATTGAGAAAAGTTAAAGCGTTCCTGCAGAGAAAGCTGCAGCAGAAGATGGCGCAGGAGCGATCAAGTAGCTCGGGTCGATTGAACGGATCACTGGAAGCTAAAGACGAGATCCAGAAAAGATACTCCGAGTGCAGGCGCAACGAACAGCCTAAGGGTTATCGCGCTAGGAAGGTACGCAGCGAGACGAGCATCGTCAGGTTCGACCCGGAGACGTTGCAAAAGGACAAGCAAATATCTGGCAAGCAGTCGGAAAGAGAGAGATCGAGGAGTTGGAAGGGGAGCGCGGAGGATTCATTGAAGCAGAAGGTTTACCGTCGGTCGATAAGCGAAGTAAGGAGCTCGGAGACCGCAGATTTGAGTCACCGGCCAAAACTTCAGTCCAGAGAATCATCCGGTTCAGAGAAGCGAAAACTTTACCGCAAGACGAAGAGCGACGTGTTGCTGGGTCGTGCTGGCAGCAGTTTTGACTCGGAGCAGGATCACGAGAATCCGCCGAGGCGGATCAGAAGCCAGGACAATGTAGACAAGTCCTGGCGAGAGTACAAAGAAAGGAAGAAGTTGAGTAGACTGCAACGGGAATCTGAGAAGGAGGTGAAAGAAGAAGATTTCATGAGCAAGCCCAGGTGGAAGGACCTGCAGCCGGGCATGTGTTCCTTCAGGGACTGCAAGGTCTGCCAAAACTCGCGGAACTGCGTAAATCCTTTGCTGGAAGCCGACAATGGCGAAATCTCGAAGGACTCCCAGGGGAAAGGGGACCCTAAGGATGCAGCGCGTAAGGATTCCTCGAACGACAGACCAAGTACTAGCCTTCAGGAGAATTATTTGGTTATCGATCGAGACACTGACGGCACTGGCAACCCGACGATCGCGAAAATTCTTGTGAAGAGCCGGGACGCTACTGAGAACGCCATGAACTCGCCCGACTGTGGCTACAATACGATCCCGAAAGAGGCTTTCAAGGATTACCGGGAGCTGTACATGCGGTCGAACGTGAAGAAAAGCGATACGTTTAAGATCGTAGACGGCAGCGAAGACCCTGAAGGGTCAGGGGACGAGAGCGATTCGAAGGGGGAGCCGGCTGAGGGATTGGTTGATAGTTTGAACGAGGGCTTGCTGACCAATAAATCGAACGAGGACATCGCCAGGGATTATTTCAAGAGGGTGTACGAGCTGTTGAAGAAACGGCAGGAGGAGACAAGAAAAGTGCAGGAAAGGACCGAGACACCGGGATTCGACGACTCGTCGTCCTCCAACTACGCGGAGAAAGTGCAGAAGAAGAGGCCTCGGCGTAGGAGGAAGGAACGGAGTACACAAGGTAGGAAAAAAATCTATCCGAGTTTTGCATAAGTTTGATAAGCTTACGATTGCATTGTAAAATCCAGAGGAAGAATTGGTAATTCTAATACAATATAATTATAGTTTGTCTTTAGGAAAAAGATTATCGATAGATTTGCATCGGAAATTGAAAAGTTCCCTGTTAACACGTTGACTGGAAAATAAACACTCACCAAAACTCCCACACAATCGAAACAATTTTCTTAATAAAACTAAAAAGTCAAAATTCTTTATAACCATTGCTCTACTGTTCTTTCTATATTTAATACATATAACAGAATTTAGTTCGTTCGATACGTCACCAAGAAAATTAATGTTTAAATTGATGTAAAAGATACTATTACCCGCATTCTGGTGACATGACAGTCAACGTATTAAGTAGCGAAAAATTTATATTTACTATACAATTTTGTTTACTATGTACAAATAGAAAATTTGAATACAGAGAAGTGGGGATTTCCGGAAACATCTATGATCCGCGTGCACAATAATCTTCATCTCGTGTCTGCATGGAACGCCTCCAACAGAGGTGCCGCTAAAATGATCAGCGTCGCGGAAATTTCGTGAAACGATTCGTGGAATCGTGTCCCGTTGATTAAATAAGCCATGAAAAACTGGATTATCCTGCCAGCCGTTGGCCGAGCTAACTCAGCGATTCCTGGAAGTTCCGGCAGTTCCACGGGAATATTCCCCAAATATTTAATATCCGGCTGGATCCCGCGCGATCCGGGCGTTGTGAGACGGGGCGGACGACAAGCAACGAGCCGAAAATAATTATTGTGAAAGTAGAGTCGAGAGAGTTGATTACGGGAAAGCTGCCGGATAATTTTGGGCAGACGTCGCAATGGATGTCGGTTGTACAGCGGACAGCCTCCTCCCTGTGTTGGTCCTTACGGCGGGCTTTCAGCCAAAGAGATTAGTGTCGCGCCTTCGGTCAGGAAGTCTCACGGAAATCAGCGAAAAGCTTCGCCGCAACTCATCGCTGCTCTACCAGATATAATCTCATTACCGTTGTCTTCCGTTTTTTTGCCCCCTTAACCGGATGTGATCGTTTAATTCGCCCTGAAGCGCTGCGGACGCTTGAAATAATTAGCGCCCTTTTAGCTCTCTTTTCGAGCCGTGTTATTAGATCGGACAAACTCTAATGGAACAGAAACATTTTATGTAATGGCCTCAGTAGGAATCTATTTTATTAATCTTCTCAGGACCATACAGGATGTTTTCGAGGAATCCCGACGTTCTTAAAACACGTCCTTCTACGACCTCCTCAATGTTGAACGTTAGGAGAAGGATATAAGGAATATAATTGACATTATTAGCGTTGAAAGCCACTTCCTGTGTAGTTATTACTTGGGTTATTATTGTCCGGGTTTTAGTCCTAGACCTCATGCCAGGAGAACCCTTATTACTTTACTTCGTGATTATTGTTTATCCTTTCTGTTCATGTTTTCTTTGCATTCGTATGGACGAGGTATTTACACTGTGTTGCCATACATAGTATTATACAGTGCGACATAGTGTTGTTCTATTCTATATAATACTTAAAACGTTACTTTTAATTATATTTAAACATTGATACTTCAAATATCTAAGAAACTCTATAAAATATCTATATCTAAATCTAACGTAAACCCTTACCTTGTGATTTCTTTCTTGATTCTAATCGATACGACTACTTACTTCGTCATTAATAATTTATTGGAAAAAGAAACATTGTAGGCATATTCTTTCTATGTCTATTTTTGCTCTCAAATATAATAATTTATTACAGAAGAATAATATTTACATTGAATTTGAATGAATCACGTAATATTTATGTTTGTTAAATCACGTTGAAAATCTTCACCACGAGTCTGACACGTTGTTACAAGGCAATTGGTTAATTATTTCTCCGAAAGAACTAATTTATATCGTTCAAAATTTTATTATGAAACGCGTAATTAAGAGTGTAATTAATTTTCTTTTGATCCTTGATCATTCTGTGTCGTGGGAGGCGACAGGTGACACTTCTGATAGATTTCTGTTTCGGAAGTGTCTCTGATACGCTGGAAATCTATTTTAGCGAAAAGTACTTTGCAATGGGGACGGATTACTTAGGACCAGCGGTGGTGGGGCGCTTAACGTATGCGTGAAGAAGAGAATGGAACTAAGCCTGCGAGCACTTACATGCTGCCGCGTGATACCGCGTACACGTAAGCTGAGGGAAGCTTGTTACAAGATTAATGGTGCCGGTAGTGCCATAACATACACGGTGTATTAATAATGGAAGACCTCGTTCGAAAAGATTTGCTGTTAGATTGCGTTTCATCGGTGAAAACCAAAACACAATTGTTGTTTTTGTTTCACCCTTATTTGAGGGTTTATTCAGTCGCTAAATACTTTTCATAGTAAAGTGATGCAATATTATGTAATTATTTCATTTGAGTGGTTTACTTAATCACTGTATTTGATTGTTTAATAATTTTATTATTACATGGTTCACATTAACTATTTGTAATTTTTATTTCAAGTTCAAGGCTTTTAATTTTTTGTTAGTTTCTCTTCCCATAATCTAATTCGATAAGAATGTATTTATCAATTGATAATTTAATCTTCTGTGCCTACTTTCATTAGAGAAATTAAATATTTTCATTGAAACATGTATCTCTCTTCGTAGGAATCCTAACGAGCTGAATAAGTTCTTATTTAATCCTTATTTTTATATGTTAATATGTTAAAAATAGTAAGTTCTATGAACTCTATCTTTGTTAGAACTCAGGGTCATAAGTATCTGTCGTTTCGAGGTCAATGTACAGTGAACAATGCTTCGGTGAGGTTAATGAGTAGTTTTGGCCAAACCTTGAGCAGTAACCCGAAAGTATTTAGCATTCGATACCGCGCAACTATCGGCTTCATCTTAATGTCGGCACGTAGACATTTGCACATAGGCGGAAACAGTACTTGTTGCTAGACACGTACCGATATAGCGTTTGACGTTGGCAGAGGAACAATTGGCGGATAGCATTCCGATGTATCGGGCTTCATCTGAACATCATCACCATCTATATTACATGGAAAACCCGAACGAATTTGTCGGTGATCGTGTGATATAGCTTTTCTTAGTATTCTGTGCACTATACGCATTGAATACCTGAAATCACAACACAGCAAACTAGGAAGTGAATAAAATAAATCAAATACCATGATAACTCTTAAATTTTATTCAATCAGGAGTTTATTATTTATATGAGATATCTGATAACATATTAAGAAACAACTATAACAAAATATTCAAATCAATGAAAGAATAAAAACTATTCGATTAACAGCAACAAGTGAATTAAAAGAAATAAAAAATAATAAATTAGACTCAGTATAAAAAATTTCAAGAAAATCATATTCTGATATACTCAATATTTTATTAAAGATGGTAAATACAGTTTCCACTATGTTCGTAAGTACAATTTTATCACGTTTGCATATTGTAGAATTTTTTGTAGCTACAAAAATAATATTTTTATTTCTGATAACCCGTGTTTCATGGTTAATTACTGCGTGTAACTGTCCACTTTCTGATATCACTAGGATATTCAGACAGTAATCATTATTAGTAAATTACTGTCATCCGTGATAGTTCTCGCAGTTCTGTATCAAAGCCCCTTCTATAGTTCTATGTGATAAAAAGGGCTTAACGAGAGCGTGCTCTGAGGAGTCTCCCTTTAATCAAAACATATCGTGTCAACGCCCACATAGAGAGCGCAGGACGTATATCCTTGCACGCACGCAACGCTGTAACCCAAAGAGCTTGGCCGAAAAGGATTTAGGAATAGAAACAAGAAACATTATTCATCGTCAAAGCGCAAGATCAAATGTTGTTACGTTACGCGATCCGCGACTGCATCCGGCGAGATTTCATTTATCCCGTGACATCTGTAATTCTGATTCAGCAAAACTTTGCCTTTGCTTACGTAAAACATTAAAGAGACACTAAGTAATTCGACTACACAACAGATATTCATATACATGATTATTTCCCGTCTGAACAGAACAATTTCCAGACGCTGAAATTAAATGAACAGTTTTTTTTTATACCGTTAGAAAAATAGAAACTCTTTTGGTAGATAGTATTTCATTCAGAATATTTTTCCTACGTTTTGGTGGATTCAATTGTAAAATTTGAATAGGAAAGAAATGTTAAAAAAAAATTTATTGTTCGAAATAAATGTACTTTGTTTTGTGAATAAATCGAGAAGTAAACGACCCTAATTCGACTTCGATCAATGCAAAACGGTCTTTGTCGTTAGTGCAAAATTCATTATACGGAACGCTTATTATTGGAAGCAGAAACATTGGGTATTTCCGTCGCATTCAAGGAACTTAGCCAATTCTCTGTAGGCAATGATTATTTTTAAAGCAAAACAGTCGAGTTGTTTGTTTACATGGATATTTTCGTTGACGTTGTGCAAAACAGACAATATTTCGTAATTAAAACACAGAATTGAAGCTAGTCGGTTCTTAGTTCGCATGAAATTTGGCAATTCATCTGGTAATAAGAAAATACTTCACCTTCTTTATACAACCGTGCAAAAATGACATCATAAAGATACCATAATCATAAGTTTTATACAAATAACATTAAACACTGTTCACTTTGGTCGATTTATCAGTATTTATTCTCTTCCACCAATAAAGTTATAATACAATTGAAATGAAACATATTCCTTCATTTTTCTCTCTAAAACATAACGAAGAGCAATAAAGAACGCGAGAAAACATTATTCAAGCGCCACAAGCTTTTCATCATTATCGAAATAAACGTAAAATTTCAAAAACCAGGTCATAGATAATTTTCTGGCACTCCTAACACATATTGATTAAATAATCCACTGTCACAAAAAGCAAGTGCAAGGAGTCCTTCTCCCAGAATTTCCGTCGATTAGATTTGTCCGAAGACGAAAGAACGAAGGACGTTCCGCTCGAGCGTCAAAGAAATGGCGACGA